GAACGGCTACCTTCCCTACCCCCGAGGGACGGAAAGACGGGGCGGTTCGGTCGTTAGACATAAGCCCCAACTTCTACTGAGGCCCCGATAAGCGATTGGCCGTTCGTCGCGTTGAACTCGCAGCCGAGCCCTCACTGGCCATCGGGCGTCGGGGCAAACACGACGGGCCGAGACAGAATGACACGTATCAGCCCCGCCGAGCTCGACGGTCTCAGACCTAGACCCTATATTCCAGGATGGCATTCTTCGAAATAGGATGGGCGCCGCAGCGGCCCGTAGCGGCGCCCCCTGCGTGCCCCCGGCCACCCCGGGGCTATGGGACACACCCCCGGCCATCGGGGATGCTTGGTTCATCCATTATCCCATTTACACGGGCTGTGTTGCGGCGCGCCTCGAGACGCGCAGCGCAGCGCAGCGCGCAGAGCCCCAGACCACAAAACAGATCAGAAGACGGCCGTGGCGACACCCGCTCTGGCGACACACAGCCCCGCAAAAGGCACTCGCTCGCTGGCAAGGACTACGGGTAGCACAGGCGGCAGCAGAGGTGGCGGTCCGGGTCGCAGCGCGCGTAGCAAGTCGCGGCCCCAGCGTCACGGGCGTCGGGCCAGGAGCCGGCTCGACGAGATCGACGAAGAGGACGAAGAGGAGGAAGACTACTCGAACTTGGACGAGCCGCCGCGGTGCGCCGGTCAGCGGCGCCCAGGAGGTCGGACGACGTGGCTGACTCGCTCGGCGCCCGTGAGCTGCGTTGAGCTTGGTGGGAGGTGGTGTCTGGTGACGTGGTGAGGGGACGTCAGTCTCTGTACGTAGCGTTGTTGGGCATGAGTTGCGTGCACTGAGAGACGTAACGTACCACCGCGGTGCGTCGCTGCTCAATATGCGCGCGCACATCGTGTGTACATGGCGCCGATTGAAACATATATAAACATATCTGCTTTGTTTCCATGCTATTAGAGTAGGTCAGGTAAGGTAAGGTAAACGACTCCACACAAGCTATTAGCAGACACGCAGTGAGAACTGGGCTGGAGCTAAGAACGAGTCGTTGGGGTATGGCCAGAACACAGCTGGGAAGCTCTTCAACGGCTCTCGTAGCTTGTTGACCTCTGAGGCAGGACCGTGAACTTCCACACGCTCAACATCGGCACACTTCATGGCGGCCTTGAGCGGTCCATCGACATTCTGCAAATGCTCCATGAAGCCTTCGGCACAGTCGTAGCCCTCGCGACAGATGGCTTTCGATCCATACATGCAAAAGCCGTAGTACTTGACTTTCTCCTCCTGCCTCGTGAGGTGCTGGAAATCTTCGACACCAGCAAGGAACTTCGCATAGTCCTTGATCTTCCAGTACAGAAGAACGCAAAGAGTTTCGTCAGACACCAGAGGGCCTTGGCCGGCCTGCCGCAGATACTTTGAGGGCACGAAGAAAGCACCATCGGCATAGGCCCAGTGTGAGGAAAGAAGATTCTTCAGCGACACCTCAAGCTGGAGGGGACCCACCTGACCTTCTGGTCCATGCGCCTCCATGTTTGTGAGTTTTGCTACAGACATGGCTTCGAACAACAGCCCCTGAGCGCCTGAGCGCAAGTACTCCATGTAGCTCGCAAAGTTCGCGTGGCCTTCCTTGCTTACAGCCCGGTTGCCGTTGATGGAGAAGCCATAGTACTTCACACCAGGCGCCGTTTGAACAAGAGCCTTGAAGCCCTGACAGATCCGCTTGAAGGAGTTGGTGTCGCTCACATCCCAATAGGTCATGATGCTCAGTGTTGTGTCTGGCAATGGGGACGCCGCGCAGCCCTGCTCCAGCACCGCCGCCGCCGGCCGCCGCCCCGGGATCTCCTGCAGGCAGCCTTCGGCGGCGATGCTCCTCCGTCGCTGAGCCACCGCGTCGCGCTCTTCCGCCGCGGCCAGCCGCCCCTCGGCAGACGCCAGCGAATCGCGCAGCGCCGCTGCCTCCGCCTCGGCCGCCAGCCGCGACCCCACCGCCCGTGCCGCCAGAGCGCTCTCCGCCTTCGACTCAGCCCGCGCAAGCTCGGCCGCCGCCTTGGCCGCCTCCAGCTCCGCCGCCTTGGCCGCAAGATCGGCCTTTAGCTTGATTGCCTCCGTCTCCGCCGAATCACGCAGCGCCGCTGCCTCCGCCTTCGCTGCTGCCAGCCGCACTTCCGCCGCCCGTGCCGCCAACGCGATCTCCGCCTTCGACTCAGCCCGCGCGGACTCGGCCGCCGCCGCAAGCTCCTCCTGCAGCTTGATCTCCGCCTTCTCCACCGCTGACGCCAGCGAATCTCGCAGCGTCGCTGCCTCCGCCTCCACCGCCGCCAGCCGCGCTTCCGCCGCCCGTGTCGCTAGCGCGCTCTCCGCCTTCGACTCAGCCGCCGCCTTGGCCGCCGCCTTGGCCGCTACTTTGGTCGCCTCCAGCTGCGCCTCCGCCGCCGCAAGCTTCTTCCGCAGTACTATCGCTTCCGTCTCCCCTGCTGACGCCAGCGAATCGCGCAGCGACGCTGCCTCCGCCTGCGCCGCCGCAAGCGCGCTCTCCGCCTTCGCCTCAGCCCGCGCGGACTCGACCGCCGCCTTGGCCGCCGCCTTGGCCGCCGCCTTGGCCACCTCCAGCTGCGCCTCCGCCGCCGTGAGCTCCTCCTGCAGCCTGATTGCCTCCGTATCCGCCGCTGCACGCGACGACTCCGCCGCTGCACGCGACGACGCCGCCGCCTTCGGCGCAATAAGCTCGAGCATGTCGATCAGGTACTCGACATCGGGTCGCTCGCCCGGATCGTCTCGCAGGCACTTCGCCATCAGCTCAGGCAGGCATTCCGGCCAGAGCGCGTCGATGTCGAGTACCTCAAAGAGCCGCGCGAGCACCTCGAAGAGCAGCACGCCGAAGGAGTACGTGTCGGCCTTTACGTCGTACCGGCCACCGCGAAGGATCTCCGGAGCAATGCACTGCGGATAGCCGATGCCCGAGCGCTCGGCCGGGTCGAATCTGTTGGCAGCGTCCTCCATCGAGTGGAAGGGTCCAAAGCACACCTTTGCAGAGGGGGGCGTGCTTTGGAGAGGCGCCTCCGTGTCCCTGCCGCCGCCGCCCAGCGTACCTTTGCGGTGCCTGACTCATCGAGCAGCACGTTCGCCGACTTGAGGTCGAGGTGCAGCACGGGAGGCTCGCAGTGGTGCAGGTAGTTGAGGCCCAGCGCCACCTGCAGGCGGAATATGTGGGAGGGGTGAGAGGGGGAGGCATGGTCAAAGTCGTGCAGGGCGCGCTGCCTCTCTCAGCACGACAAGCATCTCGTGCTCGTTGAGATCCGTGTCCTCCTTGTAGAGCCGGTCTGACAGCGAGCTCGGGCAGAGCTCGAGCAGAATGAACATGCGCTGCGCGTCGAGGCACGCGCCAAGGAAACGGACGACGTTCCGGTGGCCACCGAGTCCCGAGAGCAGCTGCATCTCGCGCACAAAGTCGGTTTTCCCCTTGTTGGCATCGCAATCGCCGCTGCCCCGCGCAATTAGTTTGACGGCGACGTCGTTGCGCCGCCAGCTCGCTCCCCACACCTCGCCGTACGCGCCCTTGCTGAGCTGCTCTTTGATCTCGAAGTCGGAGCGGCGGATCGCCCAGGTGTACTGCTTCTCCTCAGCATTCGTGAGCAGAGGGAGGGGGCGCTTCGACCGCGCCTGCTTAACGGCTAGCATAAGGTCAGGGTCCGCGAAGAATACACCCTGAATCGTCGTGTCGAGCGCTCTGATCTTTGGCAGCTGCCCATCCTTGTCGCTCTGGTTGGTCACCGTCACGTCGGGCTTGACGAGGAAGGCGTGCGCCTCGTCAGGCGTTTTGTCCGCCCACTGATCAACAAGCGCCTTTATAAAGAGATCAGACTGCTGCGCCGCGTTTTGAATACACACGACGTGGTGGCGCTCGTTCCTCGTGCCCACAGCCGGCTTGAGGCCGTCAGGCATCGCATACTGCATAGAGAGCCACGACTCAAACTGTGTCCAGAAGCGGCTCAAGTATGAGAGATCGAGGAGGATGAGCACGGTAGTCCCAAGGTAGAGCCTGTTCACCTCGGAGAGCATCCTTTTGAAGGCGGCCTCGTCCTCCGCAGTGCGCGAACCCTCGGGTTGGTCCTGAGGCATGCAGGCGCTGTCGAGCCACACGCGCTTTATCTTCTGGCCGTCAGGCGAGTTGAGGAAATCCTTGAGCGCCTTGAGCTGCTCACCGTCCGAATCTGGATCGTTTACTTCCATCCATCGATGCGAGATGGCAAGGGTGTCCTCAACATGTGTACCCATCACGACCTCGGCATAATCGATGGTCGTCTCGATCAGGGCACGTGGGTCAGTCTCCCGGATCTCTTGGAAGAAGGGCAGACTCTTGCCAGAGAATTTGCGCACGAAATCCGCGTCGAGCATGAAGAAGGTGCAAGCAGAGCTCGCCATTGCCAAGGGAGGGTGCGCGAGACGCGGCGGCGCAGGAGCGTGTGCGAGACGCGGCGGCGCAATCCAGTAGGTCAACCACGCTTGCAAGCACCGCGGTCAACCATGCCTGGCTTTGCGAGACGCGGAAGGGAGGACTCGGGCGAGGAGCAGGACTCGGAGACCGGCCAGGAAAGCGACGACCATGACCAGGTGACACGAGGAGTAGGTGTGACACGAGTAGTCCGCATTTTGCGTTGTCCGCCGTCTGCTCTCTTTCGCCGCCCGACCCTTTCGCCCGCCCACCCACCGCTTGCGAGCACAAATCTCACACCTCCACTGCCCTCGCCACAGGCGGCGACGGACGGACATACAAGGCTCGAGCGGCGGCAGCGGCTCAACGGCCGCCGGCGGCCGTCGTGCGTTTGCTTTCGCCATACGTGGCGCACCCCCCGGCGTCTGCTCTGGTTTGGGGGCGGAGGGGAGGACTCTCATGTGCGGACTGTTGGGCTCTCTGTGTTGAACTGGCGCTTGTGCCCGAACCACATCAGTCTGACCGAGCGGCACGCCGCCGCTGGGGGCGTGAGGAGGCCGCGGGGGACGGCGGCGAACCCCATCCTTCGATATAGGATGGGCCCTCACGGCGGCCCGTCTGCTGCTGAAAATGTGGCGTGTTGGGGGCTCTCCTGTGTGACTCCTCTGGCTCGCCGCGTTAAACTGGCGCCTGTGTGTGACCAACCCCAACCCCGGCAAGCGCCCCCCGGCCGCTGGGGCTGCGAGGCGGCCGGGTGAGCGCGCGCGAGACGCCATTCTAGATGTAAGGATGCCATTCTATAATCTAGAACGGCCAGGTAGGGCTGAGACCGTCGATGCGCGGCACAGCGGGTGAGGGCGGCTATTCTCCCCCGAGGCAGGCAAGGATACACAGTCCCTCGTGTCGCGCGTGTAAGTCCCGGTTGCCGTGCGCGCCAGCGCGTGTGGCCGCGTACCTTAGCTAAGATACGCGCGCACGGGCGTGGGTGGGTAAAAACGGGTCACTTTGCGGGGTTTGCCGGCGGGCACCTGCCCCTGCGTCAGTATGGCGACATCGGAGCGCCCGCTCCGCCCGAGCGTGCCTCCTCCTCCTCCCTCCTTCGTCTTGACACAGCGCGCAATGCTGGCCAAGCCAGGCGCAGAGGCAGGTGCTCCGGCGCCGACATTTCTGCAGCGGCTCTGCTGCGTCGAGCTCAAGCGGCGCGAACGCCTGAATGAATGGATGATTCTAGACGACAATGCGGACGCCGCGCCGTCGCTCATCGAGCGGCTCCTCTGCCGTTGCACTAGTGCGGCGCGGAGCAACTCGCACATCGCGGACGTGCCCCAGATCCGAGGCCTTGCCGGCGCGACGCTGCAGCGTGGGCCTCCGGACTGGCGGACGAGTGGCTCGGTGCAAACGCTCAAGTGGAGCCACTTCGACGAGGAGAAGCGCGTGGCGACGCTCCAGGTCTTCGGCGGCTTTGGCGGCCTTCCTTCCTCCGGCCTTTGGACCGAGAAAGATGTGCTGGCGTGGTACTGCCTGATAAACCTTGGCCGGCTGTGCAACTACTCGTACCGCTTCGAGTTCTACGACGACTGGCGCTCCGCCGACATCAAGATCATGTCAAACTGCTGCGGCTGCGTGCCTTGCTGCCTGCCCTGCTGCCCGGCCTGGTGCACTGTGCCCGACTGGCTCATGAAGTTCAACGCGGTGCAGGTCGGGGAAAAGGTGGACGGCTCCCACTGGGTCCGCAACTCGTCCTATTTCGGCGCCCCGATGCAGTACTCTTACGACCTGGTCGAGGTGGTGCGGCCCGACGGCTCGCCCGGCGCCTACTTTGACGACCTCGCTAAGGTAGCGCCGGAGGCGATGCTCGTCTCGCGCTAGCCGAAAGGTAGCAACAGTACGCTCAATACGCACCGGCGACAGGTGCCGATAATAAATAAATCTTTCAGAGTTTGCGGCTGGGGCGTGGATGCTTTTGGTTGGTCTCGGCTATGCAATGCTTAGGGTTTGGCACACCCACACGGCCGAACAGCAGCGGAGCACTTGAAGGAGGAGCACTTGGAGAGTGCAGTCATTACGCCGCTCACACCACCCAGGGCCGCGGCGCAATAGGAGCTACTCCGGAGAATTCTTAAGCTACTCCGGAGAATGAAGCGCTCCAGCGGGGGCGGATGCTCGAGGGCGGATGCTCGGGATCGGGCTACGAGCTGCTACGACGGAGCAAGAAAGCCGGGACCAGGGAGGCGGGAGGGGCCATAAAGCAAGAAAGCAAGAAATCAGACACGTCAAGGGAGGGGTGGGTCTCGGAGGACTGCAATTCGCGGGAAAGAAAGAAAACAGAGCCCCCAGGGGAGGGTGGGAGGACGGCGCGCCGCCACCAACAGGGATTTTAAGCTGGAAGTGCGGTTTCTTTTGTGCCCGTGTATCGCGCGCCTTGCGGGGGGGGCGCGGAAAAGAGGAACCTCTTAGCGCCATCGCCACGGTGCTGCATGCAGCGCCGGGCGACGACGGCTTACCCGTGGCGGGGGTGGGCGGGTGCACGGAGCTAAGTGCCTCGCCACCCTCGCAGGAGTCGCTTAGGCGGCTCCCGTGGTGTCCCTGTGTTAGTGCCAGTGCGCGCCAGTCCCGTGCCCAGTGAGCAGTGTTGCTTTGTTTGGTATTGCTAAAAATCTCTCTCGCAGTGTTGTGCGACGGAGTTTTGTTCGGGTTAACGGTAAAATTCTTTGGGTGCACGGAGCTAAGTGCCTCGCCACCCTCGCAGGAGTCGCTTAGGCGGCTCCCGTGGTGTACCTGTGTTAGTGCCAGTGCGCGCCAGTCCCGTGCCCAGTGTAGAAAGAAAGAAAGAAAACAGACAAACCCAGACGAGGGATGGGGGAGGAGGACAGGGTCCCCACCTGCACGAGCAGGATTTTGGAAGGACGATCAGGGGGACAGGTGGGGCTCTCCTGCTCCTGACAAGGGACCAGTGTTGTGCGAGGGAGTTTTGTGGTAAAATTCTTTTGGTGCACCATCGAAAGGCGGCGGAGGGTTTGGCAAGCAAGACTCCCTTGGCTGCTTTCTGCGTAATCGAGTGGTACTAGTCCTCGCCAGCGGTGACTGCGCAGCCATGCAGAAGCCCACGGCATCCCCGCCGACGATGCAGTACATCGCGAAGAAGCGCAAGGAGTGCAAGGCCAAAGGGATCGAGGCGGCCACGTCGCTGCTGCCGGGCGCACCGTCAGAAAGAGGCAACCCGCGCTTTGTCTTGTGGGACACGCCTGGTGCTAAGGTTGCCGCGCTCGGAGAGGTGTCTATCGATGACGGCGCGCCGCACGGCGCCGTCGCGCAAGCTTGGGTGCCGAGCATCTGCCCTTGTGTCGACACATCCGGGAATGACGCCTACTCTGCCGTCGCCGATAAGTATCAACCCTCAGCTGGCGGCCCAGTCTTCTACGGCACCTCGTTCACCTGCTCGAAGCCCACGATCGTGGACGTGCCGCTCAACTACATCCAGGTCATGATGAACTCGCTCGTCCCGCAGCGCGGCCCCTCCTTTTGCTGCTGCAAGCCGACGAGTGCCTGCTGCGGCGGCGAGACGGACGACCACTCCTCCTGCGGCAAGTGCTGCACCGGCTGCCTGGTCAACATCACCAAGTGTGCTCTCGCGACACAGTGCGCCGCTGCCCCGCCCGCCGCCGCCTCCCTCCTCCCGCCACGACAGCAGCCCAGGAGAGGCCGCCGCCTCCTCCTCCCGCAGGTGCTACGAGCAGCACGACGTCGAGTTCTTCGAGACGCACGAGGAGGCGCTGGAGGCGCTGCTGGTGCCGCCTCCGGGCACACTGCTCCCCCCCCGCCGGTCCTCGGACCCGTGACGCGGCGCCGCGCTCTGGTCTAGGCGCTCCCGCACGACCCTGCCGTGCCAGAGGAGCTGACGGGCGTCTGGTCGTTTGAGGGCAACCCTTGGGGCGAGCAGCTGGTCTCGTTCGCCGTCTTCGACTTTGACAAGGAGAAGTGCGTCCCCCCCGCGCTTCCCTCCCGCCCGATTTCGCCACGAGTCGGCAGCAGCCTCCCAGGTCGAAGCGCGCGCCTGCTGCTGCTGCTGCTGCGCGCGGACGGGTGGGGGGCGGGGCGACGCCGAAGGGCGGTGCCGAGCGGTGGTGCCCCGCCCTTGCGCAGGTACGAGCTGCGCGGAGACCACATCTTCATCCGCGAGGGGTGGATCGAGCGCGGCGACGCGTGCGGCGCGCTGCAGCAGTGCCTGATGGCGCTCGGCGCCGGGCCGGGCACGAACCTGTACTTCCCCAACGGGAAGGACGGCGACCTCGTCAAGGGCACGATGAACCTGACCCTCGACTGCCGCTGCTGCCCCGGCGCCATCTGCTGCTACCCGTGCACAAAGGTGCTCGGGCCGGAGACGTGCCCGAACGCGGCGCCCGGCTACCCGGGGTACTGCATCCAAGTCTGCGACTGCATCAACGCAAACTCCTTCACCTCGATCGGCAAGGGCCCGGCGCCGGGCGGCATGAACTGGCGCAACAGGCAGTCCGGCTTCTGCGGCCTGCCGATGACCTGCTGCAACTTCTCGTACACCGCCCGCCGCGTCGCCACCAAGAACGGGCCCATCGAGCCCGACTGGGAGCTCTACAAGACATGGCGCGAGCGCGCCGCTCCCCCCCCCACGCCCAGCCGCCTCCCCGCCCACCCCCACCCCCTCCCCGCGACCCTCAGGGTCGAGGCGCGCTCTGGCACGCAGCGCACGATGCGGATGAAGACCACCCCGTTCAAGGAATACCCCAGCGGCGCGCCCGACTCGCTGTCGATGGGCCGCTGAGTGCAGGGCTGCGAGGCTGCACGCCGGGTCGCTCGGCGGCCGCGCCAGCCAACGCCTCCGGGCAAGCGCCGCTGATTATGATATTAATTGTTTACATTGCTGATGTGCTCAAACCCCAGGACCCCATCGCATTCGAGATTCATCTTTCATTGATCAATTGTCAAACGCATGTGTCCCCGCGCCATCCCCCGTCTGAGGTCTGTGACTGTGTGTGCACAGCGCGTCTCGGCCGTCTCGCTCTGTCGTCTCGTGTGGACTGTGCCGCGGCCGTCGCGGTGTGTGGTGTGTCCTCGTACTTCAATCAAAACCTCTCATGCTCCACACATAACAAGACCAAGCAATCACCCCAAGAGGAAGAGGGAACTGTATAGAACTGCCGGTCCCGGCGGTCCCGGTCCCCCGTGCGCGTCGGTGCATCTCCGACAATGACTAAGAGCCGAGAGCGCTCACGCATGTGTATGGGCAAAGGGAGCGCCAGCGAGGTCGACCAAAGCGGCGCCCGAGAGGTGGGGGCGGGAGAGGGCGAGAGCTCGGGCAGCGGACAGGTGCGCGGGGCGCCGCGGCGGCGGAGGCTAGAGCAAGTCGCGCACGCGGACCGTCCGCCGCACCGCATCGGTGACGCCGGCGTTGAACTTGTAGCGCACCTGCGCCGCGTGGATGGGGGCCCGCCCGCCCGCGGGCGAGCCCGCGCCGTCGGCGCCGATGCCGCGCTTGCGCGACCCCCTAGCCGCGACGGTGCGCCCAAAGATGTCGCGGTGCACGGGGCCCGAGGGCGTGGCGGGCGCCTGCACGAGGCGCGCGGCGGCGGCGGCCGACAGCTGCGCCGCGCTGGGCTGCGGCTTTGGCTGCGTCGCCGCCGGGCGGCCCTCCTCCTCGTGCGCCGCGCCGTGGCGGCGGCGCAGGAGCTGCCGCTGCAGCTCGGCGTGGAGGAGCTGGCGGATGTGGGAAGGCAGCTGCGGCCGCGCCGCCTCTGCGCCGGCCGCGAGGCAGCCGGGCGGGCGGGGCGCGCTGGCTGCGTCGGCGAACGCCTGTGGCGGGTGGAGAGAGTGGCGGGCCGGTGGGAGGGGGGGAGGGAGGAGGGGGCCGGTGGGAGCGTGCGGCTGCGGGAGGGTGGGGCATGTGCGGCGGAGCTGAATCGGTTGATCTCGGGGTGGTCTCGGGGCGGTCTCGGGGCGATCTCGGGCGATCTCGGGCGGTCTCAGGCGGTCTCGGGCGATCTCGCCTCGGGCGAGGCCGGGAGGAGCTGGGGGAGGGGAGGGTCGAGGGCGAGCGAGTACGACGAGTCGTGCTGCTGCGAGTGGCGCAGCTTGAGCCCAAAGGCGAGCATCGTGTCCACCTACACGAAACAAGAAAGCGCGGCGGCCGTGAGGCGTGCCGCCCGCGCCGCCCTTGGACCTCGACGCGCGGGCCGACCAGCGCGTTGAGCTGCTGCCGCTCGTCCGTGGAGAGCAGGTGGCTCGCCGAGTTGCGGAAGGGCGGCGCGAGCAGCGAGAGGAGCGGCGGGAGCACCTCCGCCGCGAGCGCCGCCGCCGTGTACCTGCGCGCCATGCTGGCCGCCTCGGAACCTTCTCGGACCCTTCTCGGAACCTTCCTCGGCCGCGTGCCTGCTGGCCATGCTGGCCGCCAGGCCCGACCTGCGAGAGGAGGGGCGCGCGGCGAGAGGGTGCGAGGCGCATCGCGGGGAGGAGGCTGGCCAAGGGGGGTGGGGAGCCTCTGGGGGAACTGAGGGTTGGAGG